CAGTTGACCCACACACGGCTGAGTGGCAAAAATGGAAAATGTGCCCGCCGATTATTTCACGGTCTAAATGATTTTTTGAAAATGTTATAATATTTTTCCTGGAAAGAACACTACCTCATCTATGGATTCTCAAAATTTCAGATTTTTCTGCGGATTCCTCCGAGCACAGAAAATTGCCAAAGTTGCCTCTTGCAAATCGCCTGTTTCTAAATGATTTTCTGAAAATGTTCTAATATTTTTCCTGGAAAGAACACGACCTCATCTATGGATTCTCAAATTTTCAATTTTTTCTGCGGATTCCTCTGAGCACAGAAAATCGCCAAAGTGGCCTCTTGCAAATCGCCTGCTTCGTTGCGCCTGACCTGTTTTGAGAAGACGGGTCTCAACGCCAGAAGACGGGCCTCAACGCCTGAGCCTGAGGGCCCTTAGCCTGAAGGCCCTTTTGCAGTTCAAGTGCCCTCACTTCTTTTTGGGGTCCACTTCTTTTTGCAGTCCGCTTCCCCCCAGGACTGGTCCAATGCCCCCCACTTCTTTTTGGGGTCCACTTCCACCCGAGGACCGGTCCTTCCTTTTCCCAAAAGTCCCGGTTCTACCAGAGCTAGTTGTAGGTAGTCCGCAATTTCGCCAAGGACCGGTCCCCAAAAAAATTTTGCCCTCTAAGAACCCACTTTGCGTCCCTGGTTCTACCAGAGCTAGCTGTAGGTAGTCCACAATTTTGCCAAGGACCGGTCCCCCAAAATCCCCCCCCCCCCAAGAACCCACTTTGCGTCCTGGTCCCCCGCCGCCAAAAAATGTGACACCTTGACACAGACGCCGAAGCCCACTATACCGCAGCCGAATTTGAAATATTTTTGGAGAATTTATTTGATATTTTTTTCAATTTGATATGCGCTTAATATTTGTTTTTTTGGAGATTATTTCGTATTGTTAACTAATTATTTGGACTGTATTTGACATTGTGTTACAGTATTTAATATTATGTGTGGTACCGGATATTTATTTGCTATACTGGGCACTTTGTTATTTTCGATAATATTTCATATTATTTGACTCTGTTAAAAGTTTTATTTGACATTGAGTACGTTATTTTATATCATTTCTGGTACGTGAAATTTATTTGCCATATTGGACATCATTTGAGGTTAACTTACATATTTGACATATCATTTTAATCACTGTATTTTTTCTGTACTTCGATTTTTTTTTGAAATTATTAAATGATTATTTGATATAACATCACAATGATTACACATACTATTGCGATACTATTGGATATTATTATTGAACATTATGACTGACATTGGGCCTTGCCGCACTACACAACACCAGAATGTATCCGGCCCGTTTTTTCGTCCAAATTCATTCCGGCTGATCCAACGTTTTGAGTGTATCGGGACGTAATAAGATCCAGATATATTCCGAATGGTGTGTATAGTGGAGCGAGGCCCATTATCTGAAAGTTTCCACATATTCGATCATTTTTTTTATTAATTTTTTTACATACAGTATTTAATGATGAGACCCACATTCGGGAGCAGGGGCCAAAACGAAAAAAAAAAACACCCAATCAACTATGTCGCAAGGCTACCAGAGTGGCCCAGGACCACCACTTGCCCGGCCGGGCCAAAACAAAATTAAAAAATATATTTTTTAAATCTATTTTAATTTTTTATTTCCTATTTGGTAAAGAATTTCAATATGACCCTGAGGCAAAAGCTGTTCAGGTTATTTTCCTGCATAACACAGTTTTTTGGGGAATTTTTTGGCTTTTTTTGCAGCGACCTTCCGTGGTAGTTGCCCGGCCGAGCCACCCAGGCAACCAAGGTGACCCGGGCGGCCCGGCTCGTAGTAGCCCAGCTATGTAGGTATATCGATCAAGGAGGTAAAATGGACACACGTCCTACACAAAATCACATCGGCGAGAGCCCACTATGACCACCTACACAAAATCACATTCCACCCATTCACATGAGGGGATGGAAAATTGGGAGGAAATAAAAAATGCAAAAGGAAGACGAAGCGCAGGGTAGGGAAAACAGGAAAGTAATTCACAGGAAAAAAAAAGGGCAAAAAAAAAAAAGGGCAGGATAAGGGGAGGGTAAGCGGAGGGTAAGGAGAGGAAAACGGGAGTGAATAGGAGCTAAGAAGGGGGGGAGGGGAGAAAGGGAGGRGGRGGCGGGSGGGGGGGRGGGGGGGGGGAAACAAGGGAGGKGGGAACCGCCCGCCCCCCCCCCCYCCCCCCMTCATSCACCGGTGGTCGATTTCCAAATCAGACATAGGGCTTCGCTCCACTAGTACTCACCCAAATGTGCAAACAAATTAGAATGAATCTTCCGCTGGAACATGGAAAGATACACTGCCATGATTTTTGTCTTTTGTGCATGTCGAGAGTAGTGGAGAGGGAGAGGCCCCTACTCCTCGCTTCTACTCTTTTTTTTTTTATCTCAGCTTTTTTCCCCCTCGAATTCCTCGGTCCTTCATCAGCCTCTCGACACCTATAGGCACCTCCCCTCCCCTCCCCTCCCCTCCCCCCACCGATCATCCTCTCATCCTGTCATCCTCTTCCACAAGATTCCATGTGCGCGTGAACAATGGATTCGAGGAGAGGTGCGAGACTATGGGCCTCGCTCCACTGGACAAAATTCTAAATGTATCTGGAGCTAAAATGTTGGCAACAAGACCGAATTTCTTCTTTAAGATCCCCTCCATCCTCTTCTTCGGTTTCCCCCTCCTTTCTTCTTCTTCTTGCGTGTTTTTTCTGAGAACTGTACATGCGGAGAAGAAATGTAAATTTCTGTTGATGCGTGTACGAGAAGCAGTCTATGGCCACTGTTTTCACTATTCTTCTTCTTTAGATCCTCTCCATCCATTTCTTCGGTTTCCCCCTCCTTTTCTTCTTCTTCTTCTTCTTCTTCTTCTTCTTCTTCTTATTCTTATTCTTCTTCTTCTTCTTCCTCCTCCTGTTGCTGCTGCTGCTGCTGCTTCTTACCTGTCTCCCTTCTTCTTCTTCTTCTTCTTCTTCTTCTTCTTCTTTAAGATCCCCTCCTGCTTATTCCTCTCCTTCTTCTGTTGCTGCTGCTGCTGCTGCTGCTTCCCTGACCCCAATTTATGCCCGCAATGAACATTGCACAGTGTAGGTCTCCATGCCCGCCTTTCATCTTTTCTGCTCCTTCTCTTTGACATCATCGACGTTCAGGTCAGTGCCCGATCCCCGTCGTAGCGTGCCTGCCACACTAGAATGAAGCCACCCGCCGATTTTTTTTTTCCCCCACGCCTCCCCCCTACTTATACCCCTTTCTTCCTCCTCATCTTTTTCCGTCTTCTTCTTCTTCCCCCTCATCTTTTTCTTCCTTTTTTTGGGGAAAAGTCATAAACCTCCCCCCCGCGACGAAACCTTTGTATCCATTTCCCCCCCCCCAAACGGGAAAGAAAAAAGTGCCGCAGGTCCCGTAATCCTTCTTCTTCTTCTTCTTCTTCTTCTTCTTCTTCTTCTTCTTCTTCTTGCTGGAAAACTAAAAATTGCATGACTCATAACAAAGAAGACCGCGGTCGCGGACCTCAAAATCCTTCTTCTTCTTCTTCTCCTTCTTCTTCTTCTTCTTCTTCTTCTTCTTTCTCCTTCTTCTGAGTTCTTCTTGAGGTCCATCCATACATTCAGTATTGGTCCTCCCTGACCCCTTTATCAATCCAGACAAACGAACACTCCCCCTTCCATCGCGTTGACCCTTGTCATCAGACCAACCACAGAGTCAAAAAAACAAAAAAAACACGTAATATAACCAAAATATTTTTTTGCGGGGTCCGAACCCCTTCAGGTTCGGGCCCCGTACGGGGACCCGAACGTCCGAACGTTCCGGGGTCAGCTTAGGGGCCTCCGTACGTTCGGCCTGGCAACCATGGCTATATTACGTTTTTTTTCTTGTTTTTTTTTTTTGACTCTGTGGTTGGTCTGATGACAAGGGTCAGTCCCCAAACGCGATTTAATTATATAGCAATATTACCTACTTAAAATACCAGAGACCAGCAGTCAGTCCCCAAACCCGATTTTCACGTGCCTGCCTGCCTCCTTCCCTCATTTCCTTCTTTTTTTTTCTTTTTTTTTTTAATTACACTATATTCTTCTCTCAAATGATTTCGCCTTTCACTACCTACCTACCAGGAATCCCCAGTAACACTTGGCATCATTCTGTCCGTGGGATTTACCCCAGTAACACTTGGCATTTACCTTTCTCTTCCTTGCCCAGTTACTAAGAGGTCGAAGACAAAAAACAGGAAAAGCAAAAAGAAAAGATCTCGAAGACAAAAAAAAAAAAAAAAAAGATATCAAAGACAAAAAAACAAAAACAAAGATCTCGAAGACATGCCTTCTCGTCGCCCTTCTCCGCCTCCGTCCTTTCTTTCTTCATTCCTCTGTGTTCCCCTACAGCTCTTTTTTAGCGACTACTAGTTTTCTAGTAATACCCGGTATTTCGTTCATGGTTTCGTCTCGCTTGGCCAGGAAATTCCCTTCGAATGAAGAAGAAGAAGAAGAAGAAGAAGAGTGGTAAAACAGTCGCCACAGACTGCTTCTCGCACATGCTTCAACAGATAATCCTTACATCTCAGCATGTACAGTTCTCAGTTCAAGAGAAAGAAGTAGACGAAGAAGAAGAAGAAGAAGAAGAAGAAGAAGAAGAAGAACGCAATACCAGAAGCCGGAGAAATGCGACAGTCAGGAACACAGAGACCGAGAGAGAGAGAGAGGGAGAGACCGTACGTGAGCGGGAACGTCTTCCCCGAAAGCAAAGATGCAATGACAGAAGCGACGGAGAAACACGACAGGCACCAACACAGAGAGAGAGAGAGAGAGAGAGAGAGAGAGAGAGAGAGAGAGAGAGAGAGAGAGAGAGAGAGGGAGAACGTATTCAGCAAAAGCAACAATGCAATACCAGAAGACAGAGAAACGTGACAGTCAGGAACAGAGAGAGAGAGAGAGAGAGAGAGAGAGAGAGAGGACGTACGCGAGCGGGAACGTATTCAGCGAAAACCCAGCCGACGTGGCGTCGCCAGAGGAAAAGGTGAAGAGGGCGGGAGGCCGGGCAGCCAACTCAGCAAGGAGGGCGGGTGGTCCACCGTATTCACACAACAACAATTCCTACTTGCGCAATTGACGGACGTATAAGATACGATCTGATCTTCTTTCACTCTTCTTCCGCAAGCTCGAGGGCAGATACAATCGCACGCGCCCGCATCCGCGCACACGCGCCCGCGCCCGCGCCCGCCAACGTCACCGTAAAACGTATTCGAATCCCATAGCGCGGGCTTGAGGGCGTGACTCTTTGCTGCTGCGATTCCGAACGCCAACGCCAATGCCAACCAGATTCATGGGCAATCACAACAAAAAAGGAGCCTCCCTCCAAAACTCATAGGATGCGGAAAATGAGAACGAATCTTCCCGCAGAACCTGGAAAGATTGCCCCTCCATAATTTTTTTGTCTTCTACATGTGGTGCGAGCGGTGGAGCGAGGCCCAAAGTCGCACTGGGCGACTAAGCGACGGCCACGACAGCAAAACGACAGCAAAAGAGGAGCCGCCCGCACACTATCCGGAGTCGCCGCACACTTTTGCCGCACTTGTTAACCGATGGCCGTACGGCTCTACCCGCCGTTGTTAACCCGGGCCTCGCCCCACCTGCACACCACTGTCGAAACGAAAAAAGCACTAGTGCATCTTCCTCAAAAAGCAGTCAGATGCATTTGTTGATATTCATAGGAAGGGATGCATCTTGCCACTTTCTGTGGGAACATGCATTTGAACGTTTTTGGTTTCTACAGTGGTGTGGCGAGGCCCATAGTATACTATTAGGGCCTCCCCACACTACTCTCGAAATGTGAAAAAGACAAAAATCTGGCGGGCTGTCCTCTATTCGCCAGATCGTCTGACGGTCTATCCTGCTTACTTCCCTGTGAGCTCGCCACATGTCGGCTCCGATACCAACCTCACGCCCAGATTGGAGTGGGATGGGGCCCCGGAAGTGCGAAAAGGGGTGTGCCAAGGATTTTTGGGGATTTGGGGTGGAGTCCCAGGTCGGAACTGAGATCTCTTGTGGCAAGTTTCAGGGGTAAGAGGGCAAGTGTCTTCTGGCTCAGAGTTGGGGCGATGACCAATCATGCTGCCTGGGTCGGGGTGGGGTGCTACGGGTGTCTCTATGGGAGTGCTCGTACCGCTGCCGACCGTCGCACGTCTCGGGGTCCGACGAAGACGGGCTGGATTCTCGTCGATCGACCTTGGGATGGGCTCGTTGCACGACCCTCGCCTTCCGATGCTCGTCGGGCTGCCGACACTCCAAGCACGGCGGACGGGGCCAGAACCGGGCTATGGAATCCCAGGGGACCTCGAGTAACCGGTGGTAGGGGAGGACGGTATAGTAGGGAGGGAAGTCAGTGGTAATGGCAACGAAGCCTGGGGTTAGAAGATATTGCTGGTTTCGGCTGTCGGTATAATCGGGAATCCGCGAGTCTTGGTTGATGGCCAGCTAGAAGTCGCCCCTGCACAGTCGCTCGTTGTCAGTCCAGCAGGGGTACTCAAGGTACCCAGGGTTCCGTAGGTGGCGATGTTGTCGGATTCGCTGTCGGCGGATCTGTTCCCTCTCCCAATACGCCCGGTATTTTAGGTCCCTCAGGCTTTCGCGATCGGTGATCCAGAAAGGGGAATCTATCGCCATGTCTCGTTCAACCGAATCCCTGCACACACATCTTCCTACGGGGCGAGATCGTGGCTGGCTTTTGCAGGCGCACGTGTAGATGGCACGTCTGCGGACGACCGCTGTCTTACACGTGCGTGTGCAAGGGCCAGCGGATCAGATCCTAAACTGCGCAAATAACCAAGGAGCGATCCGTCAGCGTACCGGCTCCGTCATGCAACTAATTCCCTCAGGCTATCAATCTCGTTCCGTTTTGGGCTTGCACAAAGCATACACACTCAGCGATCCCCGTATGTCTGAGGGCGTCGGGACCTTAATTCGTCCTGACCCGTATCGTAGATGGGGGTTTCATCTTTCACGTCGAGATCTGTCGTGCTAAGTCCGTTCGGGGTTGTGGGCCGGCCTCGTGGGTGCGCGTATAGCTCGTCCTTATCAGATCGCACTTACACGGGGACTCGCGGGGTTAGTCCGCTGTGGATCGATCCATCAGCCAATCACCCATGCAGAAGAAGGTTCATGCAACAATCCTTCAGACAATGTTGTTCGAGCAGAAAGTAGTTATGTGGCCATCAGGGGGATATCTCATCACCACCCAGACATACATCGAAGCATCGTAACAGTATCAACTCCTTTCACCTACCAATCACCCGGGTGAGAATAGATCGGCGCTGCGAGCGCTGGATGATTTTGGATTACATGCAAAACATCGGTTATTCAAGCATTACAAGATCATCAGACCCATCTCATCAAGCGAATGCAAAAACGAAAGAGGGAGGACAAAGATTGAGCCACACATCACACAAAGTCGAAAGAAATGTCAAAATGCAAAACAAGGGTGTCTCGCCCAAAGCCAAAATTTTATACACAAGGACTGAGAAAA